CATAAAGCCCATTCATTAATTTTGCATGGTATGTCTCCCTGATATTATCCATTTATAAATGTATGATTTGCTTCTCAGTGTATATTGTGTTTGTGGAAGTGTACAGCAATGAAAATAAGTTATTTTTAATTGTAATTCAATACTCCTAAATGTCTCTTCTATTACAGCTTCCTCTTAGCTGAAAGCCTGTTCTTTACCTGTGACATATTCAGTGTTTACTGTGAGATAGGACATTAAGTGGTTCATGAAGTATTCCATGAAATTATGATGTATGAAAAGATAAATCAAACATTCACTTCCAGAGTACTCTATTCATATTCCTAAATATCCTTGGAGTTTGCACTCTGCAATTCAAGTTTCCTACAGACCAAGCATTTCTGCTTATAGGGAAAGATAAGATTAAGTGCAAAATTAAGTTAAAACACACCTAATAAACACTTCTAAGATTTTAACAGTATTCTGTAATGAAATCATTTCTTTATAGAAACAATGTATTGCTCGTGGCATTTAACGTGACAAGCCTCAACGCTCTATTTTATCAGGAACAGCTTCTGCTCTACTGCCTATTTCATACTTCTGGAGCCCATTTGTCTGCTGTTGAAGTCTTCTTTCCACTGAAAGAGAGTCTCTCTTACAACATACTGCAGACACATCCTTTTTAGCCAACCTTTTGAAATTTGTGATAGTAAAATAAAGTATTTCTGAAACTTAGAATAAGATGGAGGCACACACTGCAATACACTTTTAAATATACTTTTTCTTTTAATGAAATGATCCTTAACTTCCACTGTTTCTCTATAAAGCTTTGGAGAGCTTTCTGATTTTTCCTGCAGCTTTCTTTTAGACTTCTTTGATTTGGTCCAAATCCACATGCAACATACCAGATGAGCTGTAAGTAATTAACACTGGAGCTATCTTGTGCATTTTGTCAGCTACCATCCTATTTGTGTGCTTGTTTTGCTGCACTATGCTGCTCTTCACTTTCAGCTGGAAACTTGGTTTAAGCACAGATCCTCTTCCACAATGCTGCCACAGACTTTTCTTCCCCTGCTTCTCCAAGCACTGCTATGCAGCTGCTCTTGTTGAACAGCTTTTGATTTTAGGCTGCTTTCCACAGGAAGTGTTAACTTGCAGACAAAGCAGCTGGTAGGCAATTGGTTCTTGTTCCCTGGTATTGCTTCCATAAGTGTCTTCCTCTTACTCCATAAGCATTACAGCTTGGGGTTTTGTGTGTTTTGCCATCCCTCAGTGGCTCTATTTTGCTATCACAAGTTTATAACTTCTGAGCAGAACAAAGGTCTCCAGGAAGCTTCTGCAGTTAACCCATTACCAAGTGTGCAGCTAAGGACAAGATGACTCTTTCAGCACTTACTGCAGTACATTTCCTTTTTCCCCCAGCAACACTTCTGTTCGTGTCTGACAGTTCATTGTCTTTGTTTCTGTTTCTAAGCCATCAGAGGAATCCACAACGAGATTTTATGCACACAACAATATGGATAAAAATCACAGTGCACAGGGATGAAGTAGTAATACCCAGCTCCTGTGAATGCCAGAATTCTTCTATGGGGCCAATATGAAAGTAACTGCACTCGCTTCATAAATTACCTTGAACTGTTGCTGTTATGGAGGTAAATTAATTTTCCATATCCAATGGCACAAGATTGCCCTGCTTGCCCTATGAGACTTAATGCTGCTTATTTGTGTAGGAATGTTGTCACGGATATTTCAGTAGTGCATCAATCTACTGTGTTTAAAAACAATATACAGGCAGTTTTTCATGATGCAGTCATGCCCTTATCAAATTACTAAGTGGAAGCAAATTACTCTTATTTATCATCCCACAATATTTATGCATTATATTAATTCATCAAAGAAAGGGGGAAGTATGTTTTAGTCTTGTGTGTCTCTATTATTTGTCAGTCTGTTTTACCTGTCAAAACAGAAGGGACTGCACTTTGTTTCTTCTTCCAGCCGATCCCATCCCCCTTGAACTCAAAACAGTAAAAACTTGTGTACTCTGCCATTTCCTGTAAGCTACACTATTTGTACAGCAAGCTCACCATATTTTGGTACAAAATGGTATGAGTGCAAGTGTGATCAGATGCTGTAAGACAGAGACAGCTCCATTTGCAATTTCTTGCTCATCGGTTACAAATGGAAACAATTAGGTTCTTTACTAAAAAGATTGAAAGTGGTTGCTTCACAACATACCAGAGAAAAAGGCCGAATCCAAGATAAGCACCTAGAGAATTAGTAGGTAAAGGGAAGTACAATAAAACGCTTTTAGGATGACAAAGGATAATTGCAGTTGTCTTAATGAATAGAATTCTAATTAATATATTAGAATACAGCCACTACACAAGAGCACAAGAGTGACCCACAAGGGTTTGTACTCCCTGGGACCAAAGTTTCACACCAGCAAAAACTTCTTAAAACATCCAGCAAAACCTGTGCAGCCTATGAACTATTGTGTATCTATAAGGTGTTATGGAGCAATGAAATCTACTCCTTCTGTGCTCTTGCACAGAAGAACAACGCTCACCTACCAAAGAGCTTCTCCCCCAACACAGAGAACTCAAAAAGCAGAATACTGAAGGCAAGGGAACCCACCTCTCTTATCTGCAGGGCTGCATTGCGACAGCATAAATCACGAATAACAGTGCAAGGTAAATGCAATCTTCCCTAGTCTGGAATGCCTGTCTTAAAAGCTCCATCTCCAGAAAGCAAGGGATTGTGAAGGTAAATTAGTGCTCATTTACAGTAAAACAAACACTTGCAGCTCCCCTATTCACACACAAATGCTAGAGAACACGAACTTGGCACGAACCTCAGAGGAAGCAACAGCAACAATCAAAAGAGACAAGTGTGTACTTATTTTTGTTAGATGAGAAAGGTCAGAGGGCCTGACTTTTTCCCAAAGCTTGTTTGGGACTGGATGTACTATCATTCTCGGCCAAAGTTTTCAAAGCTAGCTGTGAGACCTACCAGGCAAATTAGTCTTGTGCTTACTCTGCACAGACCAGAATTCCTATTTTCTTGCACAGTTGCATTCACTATCTAAAATGCAGCAGTTTGTCTAGGAAAACTTCATTTGTTGCTTTGTTTGCTCCAAACATACAGCAAGTATGAGATTACTGCTCTGTCTGCTCTGCTCCTCACTATTACACCTCTGTGTTAAACCAAGCACCTCTACTTGGTTTCAGCATAAGCTATTAGAAAAAAAATGGCTGAATTCACAAACACTCCTATTTCAAACTTGATTAACCCCATCAATTGGCAGCCATATAAATGACTTAGAGTTACAGGCCAACTGCTTGGATTTTACATTCCTCACCCAGAATAACTATGTCAAGTGGAAAGGTCACAACACTGCCCTTTCTTTGTGGGGAAGATCTTAAAATAAGTACTGATTCTCATGGTTATCTCCCTGGGCAGGGAAAGCTTGGCCTCCTGCTCTTTACTACCATGAGAATCTGGCCAGGAAAGAGGAGGCAAGTGAACAATCATTTCTTGACAGAGGCCAAAAGGGAGCAGAAGAGATGCTAAGCATTAGATGGGATTTTAGTGATGAAACATTTCCTGGAATTTACAAAGCACAGTTCAAGAGCTGTGATTAAAAGAATGGCATAAGCTACTATTGACAAATGTCTATTTTTGTTACTGCTCTCACTGTTCATCATGTTTGTATGTAGTTTCATCAGTACCTGTACCATTCAGTGAATAATAAAGCTACTATTAAAACACCTGCAGTAGCTGATCTGATCTGTGTAATTAAAACATTTGGCACATAAAACATTTGAATGAAAATTCAATAATTTTGAAAATGTTTTGAATGAAATAAACCAATACAGTTTTTCAGCATAAAGGCAAACAAAAGGAATGCACAACCATTACAGTCAGTTAGCACATTGCTTTGTTAAAATACATAAAGATATGTAAAAATACAAACGCTGTATAGCTGCTGATATCCAACAAAGCAGAAAACAAGACATCTATGTAATATTCACCGCTATACTTCTTCCAAACCTGGGGCATACCAGAATACATATAATTTACTGAACTACTTGAAAGTGAAACACTTGCAAAGCTTTTGATATTACTGAATTTCATTAACAAGCAAAATATAGAAAAACTGCAGTGCTTTCCTGAGAACTAGACATGAGCAAGTATATCAGGGAAAAAATAGGCAGAGATAGAAGCTCTAATTAGCAAGTCGTTAGGTAAAACAGCAAGAAGAATGAAGAAAAACACCCACTCTTTTGGCAGCTTCCTCATACTCCTTTTCTTCAGTAGAGGACTGCCCTATGCAGGGTGACAGCAGAATATCACATCTCCCACCATGATTTCATAGACATAAGAAATACCTTCATCAGGAATCTGAGGAGGTAGCTGAAACTTGCAGTTGCACAAGAAAACAAAAAGGTGCCTGAGTTTCCCTTCATAAGCAAAGAGACAGAGCCAGCGCTTTCCTTCCCTTGATCACAACCTCATCAACCCATTTTAATTTATTGCTGCCCAAAAGCCATCAGTAGACAGATAATTTTTCCTATTCCTTTTACTTAAGTTTCAAAGTCCGTATCTTGCAGATAAAATAAATACAGAAAAACATATTTGAATGCTCCCTGTCAGTCACATGGTATTCACTGTAAACATCAAGATGCCAGCGTAACCTGCTACAGAGACGGATGGAATTTCTAAACCCTGTATAATGCACATGATAACAGCACGCCACAGCAAACTTCAATCTATAGCCATATATAGATATGGGCTTTACAGGGTAAGAAAATAGCTTGTAACCTACAAAGTTAAGCCCAGTAAGTTAAGTATGGAAGTTAATATGCTCAAGCACTAAATATCCTTTTCCCAAACCCTCCAGCAACTCAAAGCATTGCTGCTACTACAACACAGATGATGATACTTAGTTTGAAACAGATTCTATCATTGAGTTTTGACTTAAAAAAAAAAAGACTCTAAAAGAAAGTCTATCAATTTTTCCCAGCTATATCAAATACTGTAATTAAGAAAATACTAATTACTTCACAGTGTGAATACACAACGTGGGAAAAATATTTCCCACATTTTATAACAAGAAAATTGCAACATGAAAGACTACAAATTCCCCCAAATCACACAAGAATTCAGTAGAAGAGCTAGAAAATACATTCAGCTATTCTGTACTTTAACACATTTTAAATACAGAGGCCATCCATGTTTCCTGACCTTTATCTTGATCTACGTAGATTGTACATAGGAAAGTAAAATCAATTAAGGTCTAATATTAGTTGTACATGAAAATATTTTCTTTTCAGTTAAATGTGATTGGATTTGGATACATTCAGGTGAAGATTCATGCCTTCTGAATTCTTTATTTTCACCACTGTTTTTAATGGCTCAGCAACCTCACTTTTGCTTAAGAGTTAGTTTACTCAAGCTGTTGAGTAAATACATTTCTCAAGAATTGATTTCTGCTCTCCCACCCCTCCCCCCCTCCAAATAAATATTGTTTTCTTTACTTGACACATCACAACAGATTTGTTTACATCCTGTCTGGATTCCTCTTATTTGGGAAGGGAAGAATATTTACAAAGACTGGAGAAGGAAGAAAATCTTTTGCAGTCTTACTGGTCACTTCTATATACCTATACTGTAGAATCAAACAAATGTAAACTAATAATATTTATTGCTTTTCCACTTTGAACAGGAGGGGGGAGGAGGAGGGCAGAGTATGGACCACTAGAATAAGCCATAGAGGGATGAAAATACACTAGCTCAGAAGTACTTCAGCACACTGCATAACCAAACTACTCACATTTCTTCAAATAAATATTAATTGCATTATAATGACCTTTTAAAAATATCTTTTAAGGCACATTACAACATGAGTAAGGAAACTGACTCAAATTCTTCATTTGAATGGCCTCATCTGCTGAATTATAACGGGACATACAAGTACCTCTACTTAGAAGGCAATGTCTCCTACGTGGACTTCTACCATCATCAGCCTTCAGTGGCAGCTGTCTTCATTGTCTCTTACCTCCTCATCTTCCTGCTCTGTATGGTTGGCAATGGAGTAGTCTGCTATATTGTTCTGAGGAGCAAGCATATGCGAACAGTCACAAATCTTTTCATCTTGAACCTGGCTGTCAGCGATTTACTGGTGGGAATCTTCTGCATGCCCACCACCCTCCTGGACAACATCATTGCAGGTATGCTGGTTCACACTGCACAGAAAAAAGAACATGAGGGGGATTCACCTGTATTTCTGAGATCTGGCCTCCTTGGGAAACCTGAGAGTTGGTTGCACATGACAGTGACCCACATATACTACTCTTAATCTCTGTCATTGGCATACAGAATCCAAGCACCAGTGAGAAAGATAAGGGCAAATTCAGAGCCCTCATCTTGCATGTTGGGCAGAAGGGGTTCAGGTTCACTTTGCAACACATATGGTGACAGCGCACAAAAGTCACCCAATAAAGCACTGGGTCAATAGTCCTGTTTACACACTGCTGTTTCAGAGACAGTTCAGTTGGCATTTCAAATCAGTGGAAGTCACAGATGAGGAAAACAAGCCTCTAAATACCCTCTTAGTAGGGCTGTCCCTGCTGACTTCCACATCCTGCATCTTTTACAAGGGACAGGATCTTTAATAGTGCTATCTTATATGCCCAGGAAGACTAAGTGGGTACTTAGCACAGAGAGCAATTGTGTAGCAGTAAATACCCTTTTCTTGTCTGCTGGTCTCACTTCAGTGTTATGTAAAACCACAAATGCTTGCTTTTCTGCTTTTGGGAACATCAGAAACTCACCTAGGCAACTGGTACTGCATGTATTTACATAACCTGTGCCTCTCTGACCCCTAAAGTGACCTGCGAGAGCAAAAATAAAGTATTTGTTCTGGGACAGAAATTTCCTGTTATGCATATGACCACAGAGCTGCAATGAGATGGTAGAAATTTCAATTGCCCGTTTCATTCCAGGATGGCCATTTGGGAGCATGGTTTGCAAGATGAGTGGGATGGTCCAAGGAATCTCTGTCTCTGCCTCCATCTTCACTCTGGTTGCAATTGCTGTAGACAGGTAAGATAACATGGAGATGATAAACTGTCACTTTCATCTCTGTCATGCCACCTGATGACACTGAGGCATGTAAATTCACACACCACCACAACACATTAGATGGATGTAGTTCATAAGGCTGCCCCCTTAAAACATGGCCATCTCAGAAGTGCATCCACAGTAATTGCTCTTCTGTCAGAATCTCTTAAAAGTCACACAGCTGGCTGTACCTGACTGTGTAGAGTTGGTTAGTTCCCTAGTTAAGCTAGATAGCAGAAGCAGTGGTGCCTGCTATAGTTAACTGAAGCAGCAGCAGGTTGATACAGACACAGATGATAATCAAGAGATTTCTTACACCATCTATCTTCTAGATTGTTTTCCTCAACACAGTTCTTAAATGGAGCAGTTACACACAACTCCACTGGTTATGCAGGGTAAGACAATCCATCTGTACCTTTAAAAATATACAATTTTAACCATACAATTTTAACAGTACACAATTTTATACCTGTGTATATGTTTATGTTTACCTCTCTAAGCATTCTGTAAATGGCTTATCCACATACATTCCTGGATGCCTTTGCTGCAGGTTTCGATGCATCGTTTATCCATTTAAGCAGAAGTTGACCACCTCAACTGCTATCATCATTATAACAGTCATCTGGATTCTGGCTGTTGCAATCATGTGTCCTTCAGCAGTCATGCTGCAGGTACAAGAAGAGAAGCATATAAGAGTAATCCTTGGCTACGGCAATGAAACCCGCCCTGTATATTGGTGCCGGGAGAACTGGCCTAACCCAGGAATGAGAAAGATCTATACAACAGTTCTGTTTGCCAATATCTACCTTGCTCCCTTGTCACTCATTGTTATTATGTATGCTAGGATAGGCATTGCTCTCTTCAGTACAGCAGTACCTACAGTGGGAAAGCACAGCCAGGAGCAGAGACACACTGTGTCTAAAAAGAAACAAAAAGTCATCAAAATGCTCATTATTGTGGCTTTGCTTTTCACCCTGTCCTGGCTTCCACTGTGGACTCTAATGATGCTCTCAGACTATGCCAACCTGTCAGATATCCAGCTGCAGATCATCAACATTTATATCTACCCTTTTGCCCACTGGCTGGCCTTTTTCAACAGCAGCATCAACCCCATTATCTATGGTTTCTTTAACGAAAACTTTCGCAGAGGCTTTCAGGCAGCCTTTAAACTTCAGCTCTGCTCTAAGGACATCATTCATAGGGAGGTCTACTCTCAGCGAGTCCAAAGCAATGCCATTTTGCCAGTTGCCAACTACCAAACACCCCAGGATCAAGCTTGTCAAAATGTCAAGGCAGAGAGAAAGCTAATTAGGAAAGGAAATTGGATGAATAACCAGCAGGATTTGATGATGGAAGATCTTGAAGAGCCTTACAACAACAAGATGAAGTAAAACATGTTATGTACTCTCTGAAAGACTTACGTCCAACAGAATCTCTTTACTGGGTTGTGGAATTCAAGCTCTGTAAGATATTTCTTTTTCTAAGAAAAGAAAAAATGTCAGGACATTTCTGTTTCGGAAACGATATGTAACTTGCAAAATATTTAAGTGTTTGACACAAGGAAGAAGCAAAATTAATCCTTCTCTATCACCAGCTTAAACCAGGGACAAACTCCCCACGGTCAGTGATGACTCACTGCTCTTGCACTGGACTAGAGCAAAGTCCTGATTACAATGAGAATGCCTCCCCTTTATCGTGAATTAAGAGAAAAAGACGACTACAGTTATATACCCCAATACAATGATATCTGACACTGATGGAGAGAACGTGCAATTGCTTCTCTGAATTCCTTGGAACAGCTGAAACAGGGCTGCATGTACAATATTTACAGTAACAATTCAGCATGTAAGGCTGATTGTTAGTAACACGTGCAATCTTCCAGTATCAGGCAACAAAACTAACACAGCTGTCTGTAGTGGCCATCTGGACTACCATGCCAGGTAGAGAAGGGAACCATGAAACTCACCAGGGCCCTCTGTGCACATGTGCTCTCCTGGGGGATTTGACTGCCAGGACTCAGGGCAGCTCTGAGGTCTCCCTTCCCACTGGATATTCCAGAGAGAAGCTCCCAGACAGCACTATGGGAATGTCACAGCACATACTATGAGCTGCCTCTACAGTGATGCTCCAGTGATGGGCCCCTACTGCCTCACAGTCCTTCCGTGAGGAAGGTCATAGGCCCCGTGGTCTAGACACTAAGCCTGATCTGCAGGTCAACTTCCTCGCCTGAGTCCAGACCTGATTCATCACAATAAACTTGTCTGATGGCCTGAACCCTCAGCTAAACCCAGCTTCACATCCAGCCCTGGCTTGCCCTGCAACACACCTCATCTTCATGGGGAGCAGCCAGCCCCTGCAGCATTCTAAGGGAATCATCTGGTCTGGATATTTTTGTTTTCTGTTGCATTAAGAGATAAATGAATCTATAGACCAATACATCTGCAAATGAGATTATATAAAGCCCTCTACTAAAAGCCTGACATTCAATAAACTCATTTCATGATTAACATACTGCATTTCTCTGTTCAGCAATGGGTTCTTAGTACTATGCTTTTGGGTGCTTCAAGTGAAGCATAAGCTTGTTCCTGGAACTTATCAGTCCGTTACTCTCTTAAATACTGGAAATACAGTCTGAATATCTGAACTTCACTCACCAGTTTGTAGATCTTCAAGTACTTGTACTTCTGGCTGGTAATCTTGAATGCCAATCACTTCCTATCAAAGAGCAAAAGCAAGCATTGTTAGTCACATCCTCTTTATTCCCTTTTCTGGTTGTTCCCCTCTTGTTAATTCTGTGGTATCAATTGCTTTTGGAATTCAAAAAAAATAAGTGAAAATTTGTGAAATAAAGGATGAAAAATGGCTTATGGAACAATTTGGGTGTGGCTTTTTTGTTTCTTGATGATTTCTTTTTTGGTGTCTAGATCAAGACTAACTTAATAGCAGCAAGAGATAATACCTGTCAGCACTTATAAAGAGCAACTCCAGGAACATCTCAAAGAGGTTCCCAAACTTAACAAGGCACAATTTAGCACAAAGATCAGCCTTCATAGATCTGCTACAAGATTAAAACACCGCCATGCCTTGTCCTGTCAGAGTCTCAGGGAATCAGTTACCAGTTAGGGTCATTCCTTGGTGATTAGGAGGCATCCTTGCTCACCAAATTGCAGTCTTCCTGCAGGTAAACTGGAGTACCTTTCAGATTTACAGAGTCAAGGAGAACTGAAAACTTTTCAAGCTGTATTGCCCTAAACTTCGTACCTTTTTGAGCTACCAGAAAAAAAGGAAAACATTCACTGAATAACAGGGTGGGGAAAATGGCAGTAACAACTGATATTGCAAGCTTGTGTTGTTGTTGTTTTTTTTAAATAAACATTGTACCTAAACTTGGATTTTTAAAGATCTAATCAAATAAGAATGACTGATCCTGCTGTACCCTGTTGAAAACTCCATCATAAAAAGTTTCTGGATGCTTAGGTATCCCGCAGCTCCTGCATCTCTTCCATCCCTTGAAGTGAGATATGTTAGATGTTTTTTTCTCCTTCCACAAAAATAGACAAAATGTTAAGTGTCTTTCATAGAGGGGAAGTTTCAATCAAAAAAAGATCTTAACTTTTAAGATCTGTAAAGATCTTGCGGTTTTTGCAGGGCAGAGATATATAATAAGACGCAGAAAGCTAAGATAAGTCTAAATAAATGCACAGATACATTAGATTCCAATGTCCAGCCCAGGTGGGTGAAAGCAGGAACAGTGTGCCAAATGAGAGAAGTCAGTGCTTTTGAACCTGATGGATTACAGCTCTTCCATTGGTAGTGACTCACTTCTGTTGGGATATAAGCTGCAAAATGGAGACAGAGTGAAGAATGAACAGCAAGAAATAATGCAGAAGATAATGCAGGTAATCAAGTACCAAGAGTCTAGCATTAAGTATAAAGGAAAAGGAATCGCTTCTGGGAAAAGCATTTTTGGAGAGTGAAGACATTCAGCAGATATTAAAATTTACAAAAGGCAAAACAAATAGCTTAAAAATATGAAAGAGGCACAACAGGGGAAGCTGAAAGCATCAGGAAAACTGAAGTAATGACAAATATGTAATAGGGCTTTTCATTGCAGCCTCCTTCATAAGTGCAGTGAAATAGCTGTTCAGAAACAAAAAAGTGTAAAAGCCAGAAAAGACTTCAAAAAGAGTATAGGCAAATGGGGAAATGAAGGAAGGTAGACAACAAGTGGATTTTTCAACGCTCTATGCAAGTGAAAGTGGTTTGTTTGTTTTTTTTTTAAAAAGAAAACAGATCCTGCCTAAATCTTTAGTTTCCCATTCGAGTATGAAAGCATAAGCAGTGTTGATGAATCTCAAGAACTCAGGATTCAAATCAGTTCATCTGTAGCATTTCTTTTCTTTCCCACATATCTTTGAGAATTATTTGCTTTGCTGTTACAGCTCCCCAGCATTCACATGAAAAACTAATAAATTAACTGCTAGCTTTGATTAGTAAAAACTAAGCAAGATCAAGCCATACTTGCTACTTCAAACCTAATTGATTCTTCATGACCCACTAACTCAGAAAACAACACTACTTCCTAATTGCACAGATCAGAGGGCATAGTTTGTTGTTATACAAGAAATCACATCTGACTGCTCAACTCCATCAAGAACATTGAGGACTCCCTGTCACATAGCAAACTCTACCAAAAAAATTGTTCAAGTCAAATTACTTGCACCTCGTAAGTAGAGTGCTCTACAATTGCCAGATGGAGCAGGTAGTTCACTAAAGGGGAAGCAAGCATCTTGTGACTCCTCCCCATGGCTTATTCCCAAATTGTTGCTCTACAACTGTACTCTTCCAGATTTTCAGATGGGGACTGCCATGGTCAAGACCCTTAAAAAAAACTTAAAGGCTTGCCTTTTCTAAGGACTGAGGAAAGTCTCCAGAAAAGTAATTTTGCTCTTATCTAGTAGACAGTACTTGCAGGTATTTAGAACCCAGCATCTGCTAGCTATCATTTCTGGCTATTGGATTATTAAGAAATCATATCTTCAGCCACATACACTAGACTAGGAGATGCCACATAGAAATAATTCTCAAATCTTCCCTTTAGTATCACACAGGCGTATGTTTTTTTTCCCCCAGAGAAAATAATGAATATTTCATCTCCCTGGGCACACATTTCCAAAGCTCTCAGCACCCTGACTCCACAGCTCAGCCAAAGGTTCAGACTGCATTTTTTTTTTTTTTGCTATTTTCTTCAGTTTTTACCTGTAAATGTTTCATTCTGTATTAGAAACACTCTTCCATTCCATACTCTACTGCCTGTCTTCATGGAAGGCCTAATAAACAAAATCCCACAAAGTTGGTACTCATGGCTTTCTTTAGCTTAGAAAGTACAGTTGTACTCAGATTGATGGCAGAATCCTGCTGACAGAGTGACTAGTGCCTTTCACCCAGGGGACTGCCAGAGCATCAGACATAAGTAGACACCACACATGGCAATCCACATACTCTCTGCCACTTGCTTTATGTACACCTTATCTGTTTCCTCAGCAGCACCATCACTTAAAGCAAAGAAAAAACATGGAGATAAGGGAAAGATTACAGACCTTAAAGGAACTAACAGGACATATGCAGGAGGATAATATATTTCCAGTCCTTTATCAAGCTCTCTTGACAGTGGAAAACAATGCTCAAATACTTGCTTAGGAAGCATCACTTGCTCTAGAAACAGAAGCACAGATTGCAGCAAGCACACAGCTGACATCACTACAGAGGGAAAGAAAGTAAAACTACAACAATGAAGGTCCTACATCATGTACATCATGCAGCAGGCACTTTCCAATAGTACTGAAATGCTTTCTTTTTTTTTTCTTTTTGCAACTTATTAGCAAAAGTGTCCCCCAAACCAAGTCTAAGACTGAAATATTACAAACACACACCCTATATTTCAGGATATTGCTGTCTGCAGTGACTTCCAGGCCTCAGAAATCGTTGTGACTACCAGAATGACTACCTATTCTCCTATCGCTGCAGACCTCAGGTCTGAGCTGTCTCTTTAACACTGAAGTCAGCTGACTGGAATCATTCTTCTCCCTCTCTGTATTTCCACCAGCAGCTTTCTTATGAGAACTTGAATTCACTTGGTATCCTCTTCTATATAAACCCTTGTTATAAAAGTGATATTCAGCATCTGTCTGTACTCTTTAAGTGTGGATTAAATTCTGCCTTTTCAAGTTTATCAAAACCTCTGACATATTAATCTCACTATGATTGTTCCACCATTTCTTTATGACTCGAGGCTAAACTGAGCAAGTCAATTCCTCTTCACCTTACTAATTGCTCATTAGAAGTAAACTCTTTCAGAAACCCTGGGTTCTTTGATTGCTCCTCACAGTTACTAACAGCTGCAGTTTAGGAC